ACTATAAATGAAGAACATAATTAATATTTACACTAGAAGAAGTAAAACAGATGTCATTAAAAATCAAGGATGGGGAAAAGATAAAAATTAAAAGTGTTGATGAAAGAGATGATAGAGATATATAAAAGACAACAAAAATCCAAAACTCAGAATATGAGTATTCATGCTTGACGAAGAAGGAAGTTGAACAAATACAATAATTAAATATATAGTAACAGATGATATTCCTGTACTTACAAAATACTAGATTCTGAATATAGGAAAAGATTGCCAAGTATAAGGTAAAATTAAGAGATCCAGATATAAAAACAATCTAGTGAGTATATGAATTTTGAGCATAAATAAAATAAAATTCAATTAGAGTCAACACATTAAAAAAATCTACAGAGAAAGAAGAATCAGGCTGGCCCTAGACTTAAACACACATTAGAAGCCAGAAGAGAACAGAAGGACCAGAGGTTTGGAGGGTTTAGCGATATACTCGCAATGCATGTTATTAGTCTGATTCATTGCTCATGATGAAAAAAAGACAAGCCGAGATATTCGAGAACATGTTCCATATCAGTCAGAGCCATGCCTCTTATCTCCAAAAGTTGCCCTCTCTGTGCAAGATTTCTTTACTTTTCCCTGGGAAATATCTATTTCCTCAATACTGAGTTATTCTAGATAGAATAGAACTTATAAGAGTATACCTCAAATAGTACAGAATATTCTGATATTGGAAGGATCTTGGCACTTCAAATGTGAAGTACTTTGGGTTCTTTTATTAACACCTTTTAAACATTTTCCTATCACCTGGCAGATAACAGCAGAAATCCTCATTCTAGACAAAAAGTAATTAAAATAGAAAATGAAATCTAAAACAACGATAAGGAGAAAAATCGTTTTCTACTTATTGCATAACTTGTCACCTCTGCATGATGGAGTTAGGAATCAACATTTTTATGAGAAGCAAAGACCTTCCCTTTCCCTTCTCTGGCATGTGACACTTTTTAGGGTACAAATGAATGACTACTCCATGGAAAAATTTCCATCATGAGCTCATATTGATAAAAAGGGGAGCTGTAGATCCCACAAGGGTACATATAATAAAGTTGAAATGCTTAAAGAGTCAGAAGGAAGTCAGCACGGTCAGGAGACACAGCAGCATGATCAGAAATATTCTCCAACGGAGGTGCCAGTTTCTTGGCCCCAGAAGAGTTTGACCATGAGATACAAGCTTGTGGATCATAGTCTGAGACATTAGGATTACTTCAGGCCATCTGGATGTTCTGCTGCTACCATCCAGGCCCGGCCTGGCATGCATTAGGCAGATGAAATTCAGCACAGAGATGGATCAGCTTTTATGCCAGGGATGACCTCAGCTGGTCCAGATACACCTCGTCAATCTTCAGGTTATGATATATACATTAGGACTGCAGACCACCATGGAGTACAGTGCACACAGGTGTGAAGTCAGCCTGCATTTATCACTCTCAGCTTCCACTGGCTAACAGAGGATCCAAGGACTTTGCAGAACTTTACCCAGGAACGAGACAAAAAGATCTGTTATGCAGACATTTTTGGAATCATACGAACAGGCCCTCAGAGCAGCCACAAGTCTTGTCTTATAGCCCCTTTGGATTTACCAAGAAATAATAATTTTTAAAAGGTCCATAAACTCCTAATGACTAATTATTAAGCCATAGAAAATCCTACTCTGTTCGTTACAAAATGGTGATTTTGAAGACTATTTAAAATAGGAATATTTTCCAGTTATACATTTAGGTGAAAAAAAATATGTATAATCCCAGAGTTGTGTGTATTGTGTATTTTTCCTCCATATGTGTCTAAATGCTTTACTAATTGCCCTCTTTTTGTGTTGAGAAATTTTTAAAATTTGGTTATTTTCCAAATTTTCTGAAATAAGCATTTTTAAATTTTATAATCAGAAAACATAAAATATATGTTAATGAAAATTTAGCTCTCAGAATATAATATGAAATCTGGGGTCTACAATGGTATTAACCTATTTGCTTCATTTAATGAATTAAACAGAACTACACAGTTCAGTAAAGAATGAAAAGGCAATCCACTAGCCATTTGTATGATTACTTTATGCTCATGATAATGAAGAATTTCAGTCAACATAGAATACATTGTCTTTGTAAAATACTCTGCTAAGAACTTTCAAAATAATAGTGCTAAAAGTTTATGATTATTTGGTCTGTACTGCTTAATAACAAAATGTTCAGAGAAGCAAATAGTAGATGGGTTGCTTAGTTCTCTACATCCTCATGTAAGTTAGTAAAGCTCAATGCTTGCAGCAATTGGGTGTAAATAATCTGTGGGTTCTAGATGACCACAGCTCAATATTATTCAAAAACACTCTAAAATATAATTCATACTTAGACTGCAACAATAACTATGTTTTATCCTACTCATGATTAAGAATGTTTTCCTGGTGTGCTAAGCTAGCCAGAAAAGCATTTTGCAAGTTGCTTTCAATTCAAGGTAACACATTTTAGGGGAAAAATGACATAATCAAAACAGAGAGCATCCATGGGAAGGAAGGAAAATAGCAGATAGTCTGAATTTTATTTAAGAGGAATAGTTGAGGAAATGAGATAAGTTTAACCCAGAAATAAGACGACACAAGAGAAAAGAAAATAGCTGTATTCAAATATGTGAAGAGGGGCCAGACTGGCAGGGTAGCAGCTAAGTTTGCAAGTTCAGTTTTGGTGGCTTGGGGTTCACAGGTTGGGATCCCGGGTGTGGACCTACTCACCGCTCATCAAGCCATGCTGAGGCGCCATTCTACATAGAAGAACTAGAAAGACCTGTAACTAGGATATATAACTATGTACTGGAGGCTTGGGGAGAAAAAAAGAGGAAAATCGGCAACAGTTGTTGGTTCAGGGCTAATCTTCCTCAAAAAGAAAAAAATCGTACAAATATGTGAAGAGTTGTCAACCGTTAAGAAAGAAGATGCTTACTCGATATTGTCCTGAAGTTAGAAATGTGGCTTTTGGATAGACATATGCAAGAAGTTTCTGTGCTCTCCTCATAATTGGTACTGTCTACACTGTAAAGTGGGGCTCCCACTCAATGCAGGAAAACTTAAGCTGGTGATGTATCTCCCCAAGGTATAATGCATGAAATTATTGTACTTGTTCAAAGAGTAGACTAGAAGATATCCAAGTTCTTTTGACTATAGATATTATGAGAGCTCGGCGGTTATGTTAACAATGTTTAGTATATCTGGAGTGAAGCCTGAGATATAGATTTTAAAATGTTAATAACCATGTTCTAGAAGTTGAAGCCATACCAATTGTGTTATCAGTTCTCAAAGAACTGCATTAATGGAAAGAAATAAGAGGAAATATGATGAAGATCCTTATAGTGGAAGCCAGAAAAAACTCAAACCAGCTTAACCCCAAAAGAAATTTATAGAATTACTTCACAACAAAGTCTTGGACTCGAGTAGGTAGATTCAGGCATCACTATATTCAAGTGATCAAATGATGGTTTTAGAAGCCTTTTTTTTGATACATGTATCCCTTCCATCTCTTTCTCCATCTCTAATTCTAAACTTCCTGATCTTAGAAAGCATAAAGATCTACTTTCTCCAGCATTTAGAGGGGTAATATGATAAGTACTTTCCTTGGCCCTTTTAAGTACATTTGATCGTATTCTTAGAATAAATCCTGTGGTCCACACGGTGAATCAAAATCAAATCCACACTCTTGTGGTCGAGAACTGGAAGAACTGGGCAAAAAAATGGCATGAAATAAAAAATAGTTCTCAGAAAGAAGACAAGAATGTAACAAATATCTAATACATGTACAGTTTAATAGCTAATCTGAAGTACATTCCAATGACACACCCACACGAACCATTGCCTTTCTTACTTATTTCTTAAGCCTTTTTACCCCTGATCAAATTACTAGGCCCAAAGCCTGGCTTTGAAGAAGCAACATCTCTATGTAAATAGAAAATAACTTAAAGGAAACCCGAACGATTAATCAAACATGGAAAACTTTGTATCCTACTTGCTGTGTGAAGTTTTTAATATACATAGTTTGTCAATACACAAATGGCCATAAAGCAACTTAATTTTTAGTTATTTGCTCATTAAGCAAACATTTTTTTAATGCCAGCTGCATGTCAGACAGTGTTGCAGGAATAGATAAAACATGATTCCTACATTAGCAGAAGTCAGCCATTATGGAAATAGAAAGGCCAAATATGTAATTAGAATCAATATTATAGGGGCCGGCCCCGTGGCGAAGTGGTTAAGTGCACACGCTCCACTGCTGGCGGCCTGGGTTCGGATCCCCGGCCTGCACCGACGCACCACTTGTCAGGCCATGCTGTGGCGGCATCCCACATAAAGTGGAGGAAGATGGGCACAGATGTTAGCCCAGGACCAGTCTTCCTCAGCAAAAAGAGGAGGATTGGCATGGATGTTAGTTCAGGGCTGATCTTCCTCACAAAAAAAAAAAAGAATCAATATTATATATTATCAGGGCTAATCTTCCTCACAAAAAAAAAAAGGAATCAATATTATATATTATATTTGAATGTCATATCAATATTATATATATATAATATTGTGATAATGTGATTTGTAATTAAAAATATTATACATTTGGTCTTTTTCCATTATTCCTGGCACATAGCTCCTAAAATCCTTGGTATATTCTAGGTGATGAGAGCAATAAACGTATCTTTTGTTATGTTAATGAGATGACTTTTGGAAAGCAGTAAGGATGGGAGCTGGTTGCCAGTGGAGCCAACCATGTGATTAGAGGGTTGGAACTTTCAGTCTCACCCCTGACCTCCAGGGAGGGGAGAGGGCTAGAGATTGAATTCAGTCAACAATGGCCAATGATTTAATCAATCATGACTATGTAATAGAGCCTCCGTAAAAAACCCAAAAGGATGGGATTCAGAGAACTGCCTGGTTGGTGAACTTGTGAAGGTGCTGAGAGAGTGGCTTGCTTGGAGAGACCATGGAAGCCCTATGCCCTTTCCCGCATGCTTTGCTCTATGCATCTTTTCCATCTGACTGTTCCTGAGTTATATACTTTTATAATAAACTAGTAATCTAGTAAGTAAAATGTTTCTCTGAGTTCTGTGAGTTGCTCTAGTAAGTGAATCAAACCCAAGGAGGGGTCCTTGGAACCTCTGATCTGTAGCTGGTTGATCAGAATTATAGGTGATAACCTGGACTTGCAATTCACATCTGAACTGGGGTTGGGGGAATAATTTTGTAGGACTGAGCCCTTAACCTGTGGGATCTGACTCTATCTCCAGGTAGATAGTGTCAGAATTGAGTTGAATTGTAGGACACCAAGGTGGTGTCAGAGAACTGCTTGATGGTATGGGGAAAAACCCACACACATCAGAATTGGTGTCAGAAGTGGACATGTATATGTGTTAAAAGGTGTTAACAAGGCCTGTGGGAGCCCAGCAAAGGAAGCTGTCAACATTGACTGAAGGGTAGGGGAGACCTCTCTAAGATGGTGACATTTGAGCTGGGCTTTAGCTGGGGCTTGCCAGGTGCGTAGGAGTTGGACTGGTGGACAAACGCAGGAAGAGTGCTCCATGTAAAGAAAATAGCATGAAGCAAAACATACAAGATATGAAAAATGCTAACGATTTTGGCAAGATGGCTAGGACAATGTAGCAACAGTATGGGTGGGTGGGAGCGTGGGAAGGCAGGAGGTGACAATGCTTGTGGGGTTTTTTCTCTTACCCGCTTTATAGATTTTTCAATCCTCATTATTCAAAAACAGAGTTTTCATCTTTATTTCACTAATATTCCATGTTTAATATAATTTAATTTTTCATATTAAAAGTTATGCTTATATAGGCTCTGCCCCCCCCAAAATTGAGAAAATAGAAATAATTTATTGTTGTGCCTTCTTGTGGATAACCAGTGCCTTTATGTTACCATAAACACCCTGAGAACAGACCTCCAGGGCTTATTTTTCTTTGCATTTCCTCTCATTATGACATTACTTATTTTTCTTTCTCATCCCAGCTCTAATAAACTCCTATTTCCTACTTGAAAGTTTGAACAAGATGTGCAAGGAAAATAATCAGATTAATGAAGTCTAAGGTTTCAGCTGTTTTTCATTTTCAATGTGACATTTCTTGAATTAAATCTCTTTTTTTATCAGGCATGGTCCAGTAAGAAAACGTGAATCCCCCATTATTTTAACAGAAAAAATTGAATAAAAGAATTGGATAAATAGCTATTGGTAGGCTGGAAAGGCAGAAAGAGAAACAGAGATAGCTACAGAAAGCAGCTATCATTCTGAACTCTTGCAGATCAACAGCAGGAGGTTGGGATGATTAGAATCTGGAAATGTGGAGGCGCAGCCCTGTGCTGCAGACACAAAGCTCAGTCTTTCAAGGTGCCTAGCTGCTGGCAGCATCTCTGAGGCTGGGTAATGAAGCTGGTTTTGGGAGTTTGGGAAGAATGATGGTTCATGTTATGTGTTTACTTGACTGGGCTAAGGGATGCCCAGATAGCTGATAAAACATTATTTCTGGGTCTGTCTGTGAAGGTGTTTTTGGAAGAGATTAGCATTTGAGTCATTAGACTGAGCAAAGAGGATCTATCCTTACCAATGTGGGTGGGCATCATTCAATCCACTGAGGGCCTGAATAGAAAAGTTGAGGGAAAGGCAAATTCTCTTTCCACCTTCTACTGCGCTTGGGCATTGCAGCTCCTGGTTCTCGGGTCTTTGGACTCTGGTACTTGCACTAGCAGCCTCCCAGCTCTTAGGCTTTCCGTCTTGGACTGGTACTTAACCATTGGCCCCCAGGTTCTCAGGCTTTTGGACTTGGACTAATTATATCACTAGCTTTGCTGGTTCTCCAGCTTGCAGACAGTAGATCGTGGGACTTCTTGGCTTCCATAAGCTCATGAACCAATTGCTATAATAAATCTCCTCTTACATGTATTTACATATATCCTATTGGTTGTTCTCTGGAGAACCCTGACTAACATAGGAAGCACATGGAAAACTGAGGCCAACTGCTGTTACTCACACCAGCTGCTGCTACCAAGGTGAAGAACATTTGCTGGGGTGATGGTAATAGGAATGGGGAGCAAAACATGGAGAAGCAAGTCACTTCATCCTCCACCAGCTGTCCAGTTTTCTTTAGTTCCCCGTATTTGCAAAACCTACCAAGGAACCCCTCTTAGCAAAGGAGAAATGTATATCTGCAGAGTCCTGGCCCTAGTATCACAAAGCAGAGTATGGAAGTGTGGATTTGAAACTGAGAAACACCTGAATAACCAGCTCAGTGTCCAACTGGTTGAATATCTCAGTTTTCAAATAAAAGAGAAATTTCAGTCAATACAGGAGAGGGCCTTTTCAGACCTATTACATATAAGACAAACTACAGGTGACACTAGATCTTCCATCAATTATGTATTCTTGTAGACATTCCTATATCTATGTACGTTTATCTCTTTACTCATTATTCTTCATAGTAGCATTCATTCTAGGCTAGTTCACTCTGGTAGAAAAAATCCTGGATTACTAGATCAAGCCTTGCCTCACTCCTCGTGAGCTAGGGGACAAGGGCACATCACTGAATCATTTTCAGTCCCATTTTCTTCCTCCATTATCCTAAGAGTTTAGATAATATTCACTCCCTAATTTACTTATTCAACAAGCATTTATTGAGCTCCTAATGTATATGAGGCTTGTGCTATGTTGTGAGATATAAAAAAATTGGATGATATCAAGTTGCCTTTAAGGAACTCAGAGAATAGAGAAGATAAAAATTTTGGTGTCAAAAATTGTACTGAAACAATTTGCCCAAGGTACTAAATTCATACCATAAATGATAAGGGAAAAAAATATCCAACTCAAGTCTATACTTGCATAAAGGCCTAAGCCAAGCTTACAATCATTTTAAATATAAGCCTTGGAATTATTCTGCTAGAGATACATGCAAATATTACAAATGTATGCTTAATATGTTTTTAACACATCATCACTATTTTTTACAGAGAAATGCAGTACCAGAGCAATACAAATTGTTGTGATATTGTGAAAAACAAAATAAATTGAATGCATAAAAAAATTGTAGTGCATTATAATAGTTTCAGATTTTCTATTAGTCATCAAATTTCTAAAGTTATGCATAATGTACAAATACATAAGTATATGTAAGCAGAGATATAATAATCAAATACTAACTACCATGAATGACCCATGGTTTAAGACTAGGTTAAGAATAATAGATCCCTCCAAATCAGTTTTTGCTAACACAGTTATCTCTACATGTGTGTGCTTATAACACATTATCCTGCTCCATTTCCCCCTTCCTTTTGCAGTCATGATCCGTTTGTGGCTCTGACAGATGATAAGAGTGTTCAAAATTATTTTGTCAGTTCTTTCATTTTCTTTGGTCTTGGTCATGTGACTTGCGTTGGTCAGTAGAATGGTGAGCAGGCATGACCCGTGACCTATGCATCCTGATCAGAAGATTTTAGAGACATTGTGAGTTTTCAACAGTGCTCTCGTTGCTGGGCCCTCTGTCATGAGAAGGACATGTCATTCAGCTTGGAGCCGAGAATAAGAGGGAGGAGACCAGAACCACCTACAGCTTGGAGCAGAGCTACAGCAATGGACCTGGACAGAAAATGGAAGTGAGACACTGAATATACAAATGAACTACAGCCAGAATATCTGTAAAAACAACACTCTGATCCACAACCTGTAGCAACCAGTCCAGGAAGCCAAACCACAACCTCTATAGCAATTGGCTCAAAACAGCCAGGACTTGATTAATAACTGACAAATTCCGTAATTTTTGCCCCCACTTCCAATTTAGAACCAACCAGAGGAAGCCAAATATGCTCCCATAACCTACCACATAGGATGCCCTGCTTCTAGTTAGCCTGCCTTCAGCTCCCCCATGCTAGCAACTCCCAGTCACGTATACGGGAAGCCTTCCCTTTTTTCTACTATAGAGTTTTCCACTGTAAAGCTTTGCCACTCCTCTGCCTGTAAGCAAACACAAATGATAGTGGCTGACTCCTCTGCTATAGGAAGCTCTAAATAAATAGCATTTTCTTGTTCTCATTTGGATGGTCTTTGTTTACGTGTATAGAAGTGAGAAATAAACATGAGCCACTAAGATTTCAAGATTGCTTTCTTTCAGCTTATATTAGGGATATGTGACTGTTACCATAACAGCTGACTACAAAGGAAATTCCCTAAAGGGAAACAGAGAACATATGGCCATAAGGATTTGAGGTGATTTTATTGGCCACATAATATTCATAAATCAGGCAAGTCATATTTCTTCTATGTCCAAGAGAAAGAAATCTTCAAAAAGATTTTATAAACAAAACTTTTGCAGTATTTTCCCAGTCTTCTCTCAGTGTCACCTCTCTTTCATCTAATCACGTAACAAAAGGCAAGGAGAGAATTTCTAGAAGCTGGTTTTTGTTTTTGTTTTTTTTCCCTTCCCCTATGCCCCCTCCCCACTGTACAAATTGTACTCAGCACTACCTAGGAACTTGTTAGAAATGCAAATTCTCGACCCCATCCTGCACCAACTATAGAATCAGAAACTCTAGTAGTTATGTATTAACAAGTCTAACTGGTAATTAGGAAACAGGCTAAAGTTTGGACTGGAATATGGCATTACCTGATTTATGAATACTGTATGGCCAATAAAATCACCTCACATTCTTATGGCCAAATGATCTCTGTTTCCTTTAGGTAATCTCCTTTGTGGTCATCTATCACTATAATGCTCAGAATTCCCTAATACCACTGAATTATATATACTATCACCCAAAACCCACTGTGCTTTGAAGTAGTAATTGCTAACTTTTCCATAGGAATACTGCTGGATCCCAAGAGAAAGATGAGGGGATAGCAGCATATTCTAATTTCCAGTGGTTCCCTGATCTCCAAAAGCCTACCCATATATTTTTAATTAAGAGCACTTCCTCTCAGTGCTTTTCAACCGGGGCACTGTTGACACTTGGGATATAGCATTTCTGTGTTGTACGTGACTACCCTTGCAATCAGGGGAAATTAGGATGCTTGCTTCAGTGTGCTAAATACCAGTAGCATTCTCCAGTCATTGTGCCATCTAGAAGTGCCCCCCAGGTATTTTCAGACCACACCTTCGAAGGCATGTACAGCCTCTGTTGAGAACTATTGCTCTTGAGTAGTTTCTGATTTTTTAAAAATCTTTGTTGTAGTGGATGCCATCTAGAAGCACTTAAGATAAAATTATAGACACCTCTGTATTCTTCCTTCCTCCTTTACCAACTTTTTGCTACTAATCTGGATCTCATCACTTGGGAGTCAGTTCAGCAGGCTTCTAGCTAGCTCATTCCAAGCTCTTCTTCAAGTATTTTTTTCCTTCAAGCAAACCTGTATACTCCTACTGGACCACTACTAAATAGCGCTTTTATTAGGTAACCAGTTCTAGCACACCACCACCGATTTCATCCTATCAATTCTCCTGTTTAGATTCCATGCACAATTATGAACTGGCCACTTCCACTCTTCACAAATAAGAATCGATCGTTATCCAAAACCGACACTTCACTTCACTCTGGCCGGTTTCTCACAGTCTGATTATACTCTTGACATTCCTACTCTGGGTTTATGTCCATATTCTCATTACCAAGGCTGCCCTTTCGCCATATTTCCCTGGTGTTTAAAGATAAATCCAAAATTGGGTAACTCTAAGGATAATCATGCCTATATTAGTCAGGGTTCTCCATAACAACAGAACCAGTGGGAGATATAGATATAGATATGGATGATATATAGATATAGATAAATAGATTGATATAAGTATTCATAGATAGATTTATTTTAAAGAATTGACTTACATGATTTTGGAGGGTGAGAAATCCCAAGATTTATAGTCACCAAGCTGGAGACCCAGGAGAGTTGGGGTGTAGTCCAAATCTGAAGGCCCGAGAACCAGGAGAGCTAACGGTAAAAGTTCCAGTCCAAGGGCAGGAGAAGACTGATGCTCCAGCGCAAACAATCAGGCAGGCAAAGTTAACTGTTACTCAGTCCTTTTATTCTTTTCAGGTCTTAAATTAATTGGATGGTGCCCACCCACATTAAGGAGGGCAATCTGCTTTACTCAGTCTATTGATTCAAACGTTATTCTCATACCGAAACACCCTCAGAACAAATAACTGGGTACATCATGGCTCAGTCAAGTTAACACATAAAATTAACTATCACAGTGTCATTAACTAAAATAGTGAATTTAGGAGAAATTGCAGCCCTTAAAAAGAAAAGAGTGAGGCAAAATCAAAATATTAATAGTCTATCCATGTAGAATTCTATGGTGGGCAATAGGAAATGTAGCATTGGACCTAGGTATTAAAAATGGTGAAGGGCCGGCTCCGTGGCTTAGCGGTTAAGTGCGCGCACTCTGATGCTGGCGGCCTGGGTTCGGATCCCGGGAGCGCCCCGAGGCACCACTTCTCCGTCCAACGTGAGGCCGAGTCCCACGTACAGCAACTAAAAGGATGTGAACCTATGACATACAACTGTCTGCTGGGGCTTTGGGGGGAAAAAAAACTGAATAAATAAAATCTTTAAAAATGGTGAAATGGAGCATAAGAAAGAAGCATGGGAGTGGGTAGGGAGAGAGAGTTGACAAAAATAGGAGAGGAAAAGTAGAAGGTGATAAAAGAAATTATCATAGAATATGAAAACACAGAAAAGAGTGATTCATTACAAAATCATAATGCGGTTCATCCTCGTTATGCACAGATTCTGTATTTCCAAATTCATCTACTCCCTAAAAATTATTTGTAACCCCCAAATCAATACTTGAGGTGCTTTCACAATCATCTGTGGACATGTGATAACAGTGAAAAATTTGAGTTGCTTAACGTGCACATTCTCAGCTAAGATTGAACAAAGTTCTGCTCTGCCTTCTTGCTTGAGTATTCAAAACGCAAATGTGTCGTTATTGGGATCTATTTAGTAACATGCTTTTCACGTTTTTGTGCTTTTTGTTGGTGATTTCACTGCTTAAAATAGCCCTAAAGCATAGCGCTTAAGTGCTGTCTAGTGTTCCAAAGCACAAGACTGTGATGTGCCTTACGGAAAAAAATACATATCTTAGATAAGCTCCTTTCAGGGATGAATAATCACGCTATTGGCCATGAGTTCAATGTTAATGAATCAACCATGTATATTAAATAAGATGTCCTTGAAACCAGTTTATGTATTGACCAGTTGACAAAAAAGTTGTGACCAGAGACTTCTGGCAACCCAACCCTGCATTTCCCTTAGGAGTCATTGTTCAGTATCTGCTAATTTTGTGTTTGTCAGATTTTTAGAGAACATAACTACCGTGAATAATGAGAATAGACTGTGTATGATATATTTGTTGACCCAGTATTCTAGCAGTTTTAGTGTTAAAGAGAGGAGAACCTGATGACAAATATTTTCAAACAAATAACTATTAAAAATTATATTTTGTTCTGCATTAAAATCAGTTAATTGGTGCAAGTCTTAAAAGTTTTTTAAAATGATCTTATAAACATTTATCAAATATGGTTTAAGATAAATTTATTGGGAATATATTTTAACATTCATATTTACCTCAAATGTAAATTCTGCCCCTGTTGATTGGTCCCAACCCTATTGTTATAGTTGCTTAATAGTGGTAGAATCCTTGTTCCAATTCCTACTTGTGGATACTCCCTGCTTTTTTTCTAGAGAAGAAGAATGATGCTAATGGGAATCCAGAATATTCAAAGATCATAACTTTACTTTTAAATTTTGCTTTTTAGCTGGTTAGGTTTAAAGGATATCATATAAATATACATATTCATTACTTCATTTATCCATTTATTCATTCATTCAATGATCATTTATTGACCTTCTACTAGGTGCACAGGAACTTCTTTTTCCAAGAGTGAACCAAAGTTTTGTAGTATTTGGAGTTTATACTATTTATAGACCCTTTTTGATAAAAATAAATTAATTTAAAAAAAGAATAATAGGTATATTAGTATAGGGCCTTGGAAGAACCTGTTGCATTGTGGGCACTCTGAAACTGCAGCTTCATTAGGTTCACAGTAGTCCTCTGTCTTTAGTAGGATCAGCAACAGGAATCATAGTCATACACAAATTTAGGGATTAATGATGTTAATCACAGGAGGAGGTGCTAAACTATAATGAGAGAAACCTAATGTATTAGTTTCCTAGGGCTGACATAACAAATTACCACTAACTGGGTGGCTTAAAACAACAGAAATTTATTCTCTTACAGTTCAGGCAGCCAAAAGTCTGAAACTAAGTGTAGACAGGACTAGTTCCTTCTGAGGCTCTGCAGGAGAATCTGTTCCACCCCTCACTTCTGGCTTCTGGTGGTTGCCAGCAATCCTTGGCACTCTTTGGCTTGTAGATATATCACTCCAATTTCTCCCGTTATCGTCACATGGCCTTCTTCTCTGTGTGTATCTCTCTGTGTTCTCTCCTCTTCTTATGAGGACACTGGTGATTGGATTTAGGACCCACTCTAATCCATATTAACTAATTATAGCTACAAAGACCCTATTTCCAAATAAGGTCACATTCTGAGGTTCTGGATGGACTCAAGTTTTTGGTGGGGGTAGACACAATCCAGCTCACATCTAGTCACTGGTAACTTTGGGAAATGAAAGAACAGCTGGGAAAGGACATGTGATTGGACTCTGGTAAAACAGGAGGGAATAACTCACCTGACCTGGGCAAGGCAGGACACAAGTAGGAGGCAAAGTGTGAGGATTAAGGATACACAGTATTAATACCAATATTGATTCCATGCTGAAACACCAGATATAATCAAGGTCCTCCTTATATGTCCCGTTGAGGGGTGGGGATAATTGATTATAGAAATTTGAGCTCAAGTACGTCTAGCTTTCCCTACTTTATATTATAATACAAGCCTTTTAGATTCCATGAGGAAGTTTGATATTATTCTGAAATTTAAGATACGTAATATAAACTGACGCTGAGGCAGTTTAAGGAGAATATAGAAATTTTGGAGAATTTGAAAAGACTGGCTAAAAGCTGCTGCAGAACTGAATCCAATTAAATATATGGCACAGTTGGACTCTGTTTAAAGTTCTGGTACTTTTAGTAGAATCTTTGAAAGAATATATTTCCAGAGAAAAAGAAAAGCATGATTTTCTACTATTTTCTTGTGTATTCAGAACATATTTCATTATGTTCTGCTCTCAGAAATAACAAAGAAATATTGTGAAAATGCTTCCAATTGACAATTTGGATGAATTCAACCTAACAATGCAATAAATATATTTTCCACATGCCTTGTGACCACTTGTTAGTACCAAAAAGAACTAGACCAGGCTAAGAGCTAATGGCTGTTCCCGTGGAACAAAATGACAGAGAAGGAATGGAAGAGCCAGCTTCAGCCCAATATGTGAGGTGTGGGCACTTGTGTCTGTGTTTAATGTTTTAATATTCTTACGGCCACATATACTTGCTGGAATTGTTTTTGAGGAGAAAAATAATACTCACATTACTTAAACATTTTGATTAAAATAAATAAGTTTAGTTAGATTTAGTTATGGCTTTATTTTAAAATGTTCTGAGATCTGTCACAATGGGATCAGTGCAAGAATTTCACATGACATTTTGGAGATTTACATTTCATTTTGGCTTAAACAAATACAAAACAAATTTGCTTCAGTGAATGGTGCAAATGCATGCTATATTACCTTTTGTCTTTCTTGTTATTTCCTCTTGCTCCTGTTGTGGCAAATAGTGTTCATAGCCAACCCATGGAGTGGGCTACTTAACTTATTGGTATATGTTAAGTGGTTTTATTGAGTCACAATGTTATTCCATTAACATGTCTAAGCATGGAAAACCAGCCGTTCAAGACAAATGCTTCTGTTTGTAAATTATAACAAAACCTATCTTAGAGGCTAAAGCTTGAAAATGACTGCTCCTTGTTATCCTATATTAATCACCCCCTTCACCCCCTGTCTTTATCAAAGAATTGTGTCATCCATTTCCCTCACAGCAGCCAAAAACTCGGAGTATTTATAAACCAAAGGGGGTAAAAATGCCAGTGAAATGTGTATATGAAGCATTTGCATAATGTTTAGGCCCAGGTGTTTTTATAGTAGAATGCTGGGTTGCTAATATCTAGCTAGTTGTAGATGTTAAAAAAAAAAATTGAGTGTCAAAGTTCTAAAGGCAAAACTCACTTTGTACAATGAACATAAGAAGAGACCATGTATAGCTTTCTCCTCTCTCTCTCTCTTTTAAGTTAAGTAAAGCTTTGCTTTAAGAGGCGTATACTTTTACTGCAAAAAATCTGACTGATTATACTTCTTTGGAATAAAACTAGTGCTTCCCAGTTTCAGATTATATTTAGCTTCCAGTTAGAATTTGAAAAATAAAAGCCTAAATAAAATAGGTGAAAGATCCCTTACTATTTCGATAAATAAACACACACACACACACGCACACAAGTTAGGGAAGCAAATTTAAGTAGCAGTCCCAGATTTTTTTTTTTTTAATGGGTATTTTGACTAAGAAATTTAAACAGGAGATTTTCAAAGGAATTCACAACAAATCTTAGATTAATTTGAGATATAAGAGCAATAGAGAATTAGAAAAGAATTCCAGTGGCTAGCAACTGTGTGCTATATTGTGCTTCTCGTTTCTTTACCTGAATGGGGGATCAGAATTGGCCATCTCAAAATATGTCTCTTTACCTTGATTATTTTCAAAAACAAAATACTCTGAAAGAAACTTTGACCTTCCCCCTACTAAGTGCCTAAAAGAAATTTAAGATAGAAGGCTCGTTCCTAGGACAGGCCATCACCATAATTAACTCTGGGTATCAATAGACTGGGAGAATCCTTGCTAAGCCCATTATTATCAAAGTTCTGTTTACTGAACATTTGCTTTTCCATTTCCATGTGAATTGCCTTCCTCCTCTCTGAAGTCCCAAACCACTATCCCAACACCTTCCTTTGTCTTAAGCTGAAGATGCTATTTAACATGAGAGCCTCTGCCATTTTGGTGAGTTATCCAGTTTTTCCTGGGTCTTTCCCATGTATACATACTATAAAGCTTTGTTTGATTTTCTCCTGTTAGTCTGTCTCATGTCATTTTAATTTGTAGCCCAGCCAGAAGGACCCAGAGTGGGTAGAGGATATATCTTTGTCCCCTACACCTGAAAATGATTTGCCTGATATAGCAGTTACCAGGTCCATGGGTATATGTGCAAGATAGTCTTCTTGCTGTAAGAGAATATAAAATGATTGGGGGCACCCCTGCTTTCTCTATTTAATTACTAGGCATGATGCATGTATAAACTATAGTCAAGTTATGACTCAAAGGAGAAAATAAGAAAAAAAGAAAAATACAGTATTTTCACCAATTGTTCTCAAGAAAGTGAAACGGGGTCAGGATGGCCAAGTGTCCTCACCTTTATAAAAGGCTTCAATGGTTGAGTTTGATATAATCTTCAATCAGTTATAACATTCATCTGGGAGAGGAGATGTTAAAATATGTGTTAATCAATATCTATAGCATACTTCAGTTTTTAATCTTGACTTGTTACTTAAACTCTCCTTCCTCAACCCTCATTATTCTTGGAGTCTAAAAAAATGTAGCCCTGGCATTGCTTTCAATTCATAAAAATCTCTAATTCTTAGGGGATGGAGGAGGATCTGCAGTCAGTGCACATGGGTAAAATAGGAAAAACACAGTGAAGGGTAGCAGGATATGTCTCCCCAAAATATGCCTCTTTGGTATAAGGAATATTTTGAGCTGGTTATTTTGAGAACAGCAGACAAAGAAGAAGCACTGAAAACAGTAGAAGTTACTCATTTGCAAGGAAATTTACATTTATAAAAGAAATCTCCATTTGTAAGGGTATCTCCCTCTCTACACCAGAAAGAGCAGGACAATTCTAAGTCACAAGAAAATCTTATCAGTGGAGAAGCCCCGCTTAACTCTGCATAACAAATCTTATCCTACCTTATTAGGAAAACCTTGCTTTCCCTGGTAACCTCCCCAAAACTGGCCTCCCCACACCTTTCTTTCTTTTATCTTTAGCTGAAGATGGTATTTAAGCTGATAGTTTAGGCCATCTCAGAAAGTTACTCATTTTTCCCTGGGTATCTCCCATGTATGCATGAGATATACATGGTAATAAACTTCTGTTTTTCTCTTGGTAATTTGTCTTTTATTGCCAGAGTCTCAGCCAAGAACTGAGAAGAGTAGAGGTAAAATTATTTTTCCTCTCCTACAACAGCAATTTGATACAGCAGATAGAAGTCTCTTCTCAGAAAAAATGAAGGTAGAACTTTTGAGACGACACATCTTATGTTCCATACATATAAGAACAGGCATTAACCTGGTAGGAAATTTTCAGAAAAGATAAAGTTAGGAATGTGTTGTATATTGTAAAAAAAATCTGTGGAGACATGGGCATGGATTTTTAAGGTCAAATATGAAAGAAAATAGAGAGATGGCCTGCTACTCTAGAAAAATTGTGGAATATTAAGAGATGACAGAGAAATTAAAACAACACATCCAATATTTTGCTATGTCATTCCTATCATGTAGGATAATGTTCAGATGCAAAGAGGAGACCAAAATTAAGGGCTAAATTAAAACAATCATCAGAGGTTTCTAACCATTTTAAATAATTTCAACTCTTTAAGATCAAATTAAATACAACTTAAAATACTGAAAGAAACTGCTGATACAATTAAAGAGGTAAACTATTGCTTAACTATGAGATTCAAAGAAATGTAAAGGTCAAAAGACATTAAATTCATTTGCTTTAAACTCTCTTTTTATAAATGAAAGAACCGTGGTACTGGAAAGTTAGGTCCATGGACATAGACCAGCCTACTGGGCAAATGCAAACCAGAACTAGAATCCACATCTTCTGACCATCAGCTCACGTTTTTAAGTGACATTGTAACCCCTAAATAATAAATCAAATGACTCCTCTTGCCCAGGGCCCACCTTCCAAATTAGCTTGGTTTACAATATTATAAGAAACTCTAGATTTAGCATCTCTGATGCCTTGGACCTGTACTAGGTGATTTATACACATTAGAACTTAGTCTCATGAAAACTCTGAAATTTTAAGTATTATAAACTTCTTTTTATAAGACAAGACAATGAGGCTCATAGCGATTAAATTATAAGCCTAATGTCACATAGTCAATAAGTAGGAATTAGGAATCTTCATGTATAAAAATGGCATTCTGTTCGTACTTCCTAACATTCTGTTCATACTGCCATCACTTTACCTCATTTGAGAAATGTAATTCCTCCATTAGCACGTCAACCAGCAATGCATGTATAGATTTTTCCAACAATTGTTTTCTTTTTAAGGCATAATATAGATGACTGCTTCTCAAAACTTATTGTGCATGTGAATCTCCTGGGGATCGTGTTGAAATTCAGCTTCTGATTCAGGTGTGGCCTGAGATTCTGCAATTCTAACACACTTCTAAGGGATGCCCATGCTGCTCTCTACAGACCATGCTTTAAGTAGTTAAGCATTAGTAGTGCTAGAACATCGTAGCCTGTGGACCTGAAGCAGTCTGGAAACTCTTCTGCAATGACGTAGGGAACTTGTACAAGAATGTAGGTCAATGTCCATCTTCCTTCATGGAGAAAGATAAGAAAAGAAGGACAGCTGAACTAAACGATGTGCTGAATGACGTGGTAGATTTACCTTCTGACCCAAGCTCCTCATCTTATACGAGCCGTGGGATGGGTAACGACCAATACATTGACAAGACACTTCTATAAGTACATATGTTGGGGGTTGAGAGGGAATGAGAGTTTTGAATGTGGAGGAGGAAGAATAAAACAAATTTTCTGAAAAAAGCATTACCTCTAGAAATAGAAAAAGCCATGCTGTGAAGAGGCATGAAGACTGGTTACGTGGAGAGAGTCTACCAAGGGAAGGGCTAAAAAGAGTTTGGAAAAAGAGTGTTTGGAAGTCAAAGACAGATTTTTCTATTAAATCCATTTACCTTAGGCTCTGGAAGAATGTTCCTCCCACCTTTGTAGCATTAGAATCTAAGAAGTGGTGGTGTCAGTAATTCTCAAGTCAGACTCCACATTAGAACCAATCGTGAAAGCTTTAGAAACTATCTCCATAGAAACTATGATTCAATTGTTTTGCATCCAATTGCTTGATCATTAAAAGTTTTTAAGCTCCTCATGGGATCTTAATACATAGCAAAGGTAAAAATATCTACATTATAGATAATTAGGCCTCTGAAGGCTAAATTGTGAACCTAAGATTTATAACTTTGTTTCTAAGGAAACATATTATCATCCAGTATTTAGTAGCATCAATTCTCTACAGAATTCAGAAGGAATTAAATAGATGGTGGGAGGAGATAGACTAGAGAGGAGTGATTACTAAGATACAACATGAATTCAGTGAGTACTAGTTGGGGCAAACTAGCCCTATTTACTTTTTTGGTAGTTGTTTCATATAAGATAAACGGAATTTGTGTGATAATAATACTGCTTTATCTTTTTAGCTCTTGATTAAAAAGCACTTTCATGTATATTATTATGTGTGATATTCACCACAATTCTGAATATTAGGCAAAGAATACATTATTAATCTTATTAAGACTGAATTCCTGAGATGTAAGGGACTTGCCTGCATTTACACAGTTAGGTTTGCTGACAATACGTTAGCTCTCCTATAAATCTTGGGTGCAGAAAAGCACTGATAAAATGTTTCATTACAACTTTTGGACAAGATGAAAAGATGTGGGCTAGGATATAAAGCAAATAGGTGGATCTGTAGATTATTAAAGGAAGCTCGATGTAGTTTGCATAGATCTCCATGACAGGAATAGGACAGTGAACAAGAGATCAAGGTAGTTTGTAGCAGAACATGAGAAGACTTTTTGACAGAATAGGACTAACATTTTTAGAAGCTTTGTCCATATAGGGACTTGGTGTTCTGCCATATTATTCTGCTTACTCCTTACAGCACTGCTGGGAGGAAGGTACAATAAACCTGCAAGATAATGAGCAAACTGAGATCATGTAGGTTAAGCTTTTATAAAAAGTCACACATGGAAAATGAGGTAAACTCAAGATTGGGAATCAAGTCTGCCTGCTTCCATTTTGCAAGAAATAATTACCAAAATAATAAATTCTTTATCATGAGAATGATTCACACAGAGTCGGGGGGACTATTTGTCAGAAATTTTCCAGAGAAAAGTTCCTTAATTGGGCAATTGAAAATATTAATTTCAAGTTCCTTCCAAATTTCCTTCTAATTGTTGGACACTGATACCGTGACCCCTTTTCTAGGAATACATCCTTCTCAATCACATGACTATTGTACAGATTACAAGTTTTGGTATAATATGGCCTGTTCCCTAGGCGGAGTTAGATGCTCGCCACCTCACCAGATGCAGTTAGTTGATTGACCAAAGGGTGGGCAGGCATCAGTCCTTTACTGGGCAATGAATCCTTTTTATCATCAGATTTCTAAACTTGGAGCTAGAACATGTTCTTCTTGTTATAGGTTATTCAGACCACAAAATCTAGAGGTCAGGAAGGAGCCAGTAAAAGCCATGTTTTCTTTCTAGTTAGAGAAAGCTGGTCTAGAGCTAAAGCAGAGAGAATCAGAGATGAGAAAGGGAGAGTCCCAGTGGCATTCAAGAAGGTGATTCTGTATTTCTGAGGCTGAGCGTCACTCTGGTCATTGGTTCATGACAGACACTCCTTTCCCTGTGGCTTCAGCTAGTTTGAATTGGATTTCTCACCCTTACAGTGCAGAGTCCTCAAGCACTTCCTGCCAAGAATGCTAACAAATAAACCTTAAGATACAGAAATGTCACAACATATTCGAGGATTAAGTCTTTGCATATAAGTCACAATACTAATGTAAATTATAATTCAATTCTTTCACAAAAATTACTACCTCATAATGTAAAGCATGATATTTAGCCTACCCCAAATTTTTCTTGTGAAAATGAGTTTGATTTTCAAATCATTATTTTTCCCAGTAAAGTTTCCTTAGTAATAATGGTGTAGGGATACGGAAGACCTAAGTTACCAATAAGGTGTATATGACTTGACTCTGTGTGTGTGTGTGTGTGTGTGTGTGTAAAATCAGAATTTTAATTTTAGTTCCCTGTACTACTCTATAAAATTAAACTTTCTGTCAAAGGTATAACTGCAACTGAGAGGAGTTTTTAATTAGAACATTTAAAGCCATATTGCCAACATTTTACACTGGGGCCTTAACATTAACCCTGCAGTTAATGTATTTAATTAGTTATTTTATATAAAGCTAATGAAAAATTTAGGCTTTTAATAGTCTCTGCTCCTTTTTACTCTTGGCATCTCATACCATATTCAGAATGGTGAATTAAATGATGATAAAAAGTTTGTATTGTGTCTATAACCGTTAACCTCTTAGCAATGGTTTCTAAACAGAGCCAGGTATCGGAGTGCTCAATTATTTGATAAGAAAGCACTCTGATGGTTTTTATTCAATAATCTTCTTATAACCACCACTCTTTCATATCTGTCTAGACTGACATTTGGGATACATATATTACGCCAATAAATTTACACTTTTTTACCACCTTCTTTTCTAAAAACAGATGTTATTGTATCATTTGGCTGTTGATGTTTTATATATTTGGTAAAAACGAGTTTTAAGTGGATATTACATTATGTTATAAAACATAAAGACATTATCTTT